ACCCAGTCCGATCCAGTTCATGATCCAAGAAGCCCAGAGAAATAGGAGCACGTGGGAGAAAGAATATCGGGATATATACTCAAAGAGATCTAATCCTACCATAATTGTACTTGCCAAAATGTTAGAAGCCCTCTCCCTCATGTCACTGTCTCACTACCTTATTAAACCTATATAATGTAAGCCCTCTCCACTCGGAGGGTATCACCTCATCACCTTTTTGAGGCTTCCACACCTTGAAATCCCTACACACACTACACCTTCCTACACTCTCCTAAAACTTTGTAACACTCTTGGAGTTACTCTCCCGGTAACATTATTCATCAATAAAGATCTCCAGCCACCGTTGTCGTTTCTGAGAGTAGAGTAGGTCACTTGAACTGAACCACTATAAATATTGGTGTTTGCTCATATTTATAATTTTGTCATTGCTTGCCTATTTGCTGCTCATTAATTGTGTCTTTTGATATACTCGACTATTGATTTTGTGTAATATTGATTTATGCATCATCACTAGCTGCGGGAGCTGTCCAAAAAATTGAGTTCTCATCGACTATCCTTGTTTTTGGTTAAGTGTTGGTTAGTATGGACTCACAGAAATGTCGTCTTCTTTATGAATGTTGTCATCGATTGCTCCTTCCATTTGTTAACAACTCCGATATTTCTAAATCAAAACTTGTCTATTGTAACATTTCTTGAAACTTATTTGTGAAATGAAGGAAATTTTGAATTAAAGAACTTCTCTTTTAAACCACAGCTTTATGAAATTCAGGCTATAATAGTTTTCTTTTTTGTAGGTGATCATACCTGGATGAGAAAGTGATAGAAGGTGGGCTAAAAATCTGATGCTAGAGTTTTTTCTTTCTTTTTTTTGGGTTAATTACCGAATTTGTGGGATAACTGATTCCAGACATTTTAATTAATCCATGGAACTAACTTGCATTTGCATTTTTTTTTGGGTCAGGCATTTGCATTAATTCTACCTAGTAATACTATGCTGACCAAATTTTGGAACCAAATTTACAGGTCAAATGACATGACAACTAACATGAGCTTTTTTATTTGAGTTTATTTATTTGGTGTCATATCATTTAGGCCCCAATAAAGATTCTAAATAATATGTTGTCATGTCATTTGGGCTCTAAATTTGATTCCAAAATTTGATCAGTATAACATTACTCTAATTCTACAATTATCGCAGATATTGGTTAAGGATAGTTGGAAAACAATCGGGACCTCTTAAGGTGGTCAACGAAGTAGAATATAAAATACAAAATATATTGTAAGAGGTGTGTGTGTGGGGGGGGGGGGGGGGGGAGAGAGAGAGAAATTGTGAGCATATCCACAAGAGAAAATGGTAGATGACCTAACACCACGTCTAATTGCAATAGTGGTTTCTTATCTGCAAATCCCTGACTATATGGGTACCCTACCATTATGTTCAACTTCTATTCGGTTTACACTCTGCTTGATCTCCATAATCTTTCGAAATGTGTTTGGTTTCTTTCCTATTTTTTCTTTGCCTTCTGCTTACCAAAATTCATAGAGGAAAAAAAATTAAGTGAAGGATAGAGTTAATATCTCATGTTAGTAAATTGTTTTCAAAAACTTTCACCCCCCTAATACAAATTGCTAAAATAATTGTCAAAAATAATATTTATCCATTTTGATTCATACACTATGTTGTAATTTTTTTGATCAACGAAATATATTTACCAATCAAGAAAACAAAAAAAAGATGTTGGCGAGTAAGATTCCCTACAACAACAACAAAAAAAAAAAAAATATATATATATATATATATATATAATATAATTATGTGGTCATTCCCTAGTCATGTGAATGTTCATGACTAGAGCCACTAACCAATCCAATCACCAACCCATCCGTTAAGTGGCTCCATGGTATTTGACATCATCTTTGTGGTGAGAAATATCAATTTGTGCACGATTTTCAGTTGAGAATTAGGTGGTGGGACCAGGAGAGATATGAACCCCAAACTACAAGACATCTCCCACCATTGAATGATGTGAGAACACCTCATTTTGTTCACCCTCTTATGGGTTGACTCAACTGCCCTTGGACTTGCCTCAGAATTCAGTAGATGGCGTACCCAAAAAAATTATATATATATATATAGTTAAATAACATTTAGTGGAGGCCAAAGTGCATTCTTCAAGTGGAAGGCCCATGATCTGCTGTTTCACTTCCGTAACCTCCTTGAACTACTTTCTCGAATAGCATATCAACACTCGGTTTAGTAACTTTTTTTATGTGTAGACAGACTCAAGTCGATTGGTTTTAACTATATTTTTCATCAATTTTCTATGATAATAGAACAAACTCGATTCTACGTAGGAAGTCCACTCTGGTTTTCTTGGTCGGGCCTATGTTGATGCGTTATTTTACAATTTTATTCTCATAAATGACAATTTTTCGTTTTTGAAGAGAAAATTTGAACCCCAATTGAGTCTGGTAAATCTTGGACCTACTTAGTGCATCAAAATCTTGTGTGGATGGTTTAGGGTTTTATTTTTTTTTCAGTGATTCCCTTCATACCTAATATCGCATCCTAATATTTGTTCTTGATCTTAAATTAATAGCATTAAAAGATGATTGTGCATGAACCTTATTGAAGTGGCAAGAAAACAAAAGTGTTGCTAGACTTTGTTGGTAGTATGGTAATGTGTTTTCTAAATATTGTAAAATTATTTATTGAAATTTCTGATATTATGTAACTTAAAATAAAACAAAGCAGCAACAGTGAAGTGTGGAACAGTTACACAAAAACAGTCTTACGCGAAAGAGTTATACAAAAGAGTTACAACAGCCTAACAAAATAATAACGACTGTTTGTCAAACTAATATAAATACTGACTCGGTTGCAGAATAGAAACTGTTATTGAAGTTGACGTATATCAAGGTTAGTGATTGACGCTATGTCCTTAAAACAAATTTCGCCCCCACACTCGGTGCTTATGAAATATCGAGCGTCTGCCTCCCAAGATACAATGATCTTTACATGAGCAGAAGTAACACTTCAATCTACTCGTCCAGCAAACCAGAACTTGTGTTATGTACTCTCCAAGACACTGTCTTAATGCCGATATGCAGACTGTAATGCACTAATGAACTTGTGTTGTATACTCTCCAAGACACAGCCTTCTCCATAAATAGACACAACTTAAAATTTCGGACTGGACTCAAAATTTCGGATTAAAGAAAGCTCAAAATCCGAACCAGTGTGATCCAAAGAATACTGAAAATTAATTTCGGATTAAGAAATTTACGCTCAATTAATTAAATAAATTTTTTTCAAAAAAATAGGACTTGGTCCACCCACACCCATACCCGAGTCGGTAGCGGCGAGGCAGGCGGCCGCGCGTGAGTGTGTGGTTGAACGGAAGGCATATAGGCGCTCGCTCCGCTCATAAAACCGTGATACCCTTTGGGGCTCAATCCCATGGAGCAATCTTGGTCTATATATGTTCATGTTGAATTTTTTCCTGAACCAATGTGGTATTGATGTCAAATCTCACATTGCACAAATTTTATTTCCACATTTTAAGATGGTCACTTTGGTGGCTACTTTCTCATTCATTTCTTACTCGATTTGAGCAAGTAAATATACGACATTATTCTCCTTACAGAATAGAATATGAACCCACAAAATTTTATTCGAAACAACGAGGGGTCTTATTTTAATTTAGATTCAAAGTCGACCAAAAATTCAATTTTTTCCCTTAAAAAATTATTTTGGTCCAACAGACTTTACATATTTAGTGATTATGATTTAAAGTATTTGGTCCGCAGAGATGAGAACAATAATAAAATATTTGGTTGTGTTGTTAGATTAATTACTTCATCTGCAATTCTATTCAAAAATAATTTACCTTATGTGTATGCTTAGTCGGTTTTTTCATTAACTTAACAATGGAATCAAAAGCAATTATGACCCCCTTGATAATAAATCTCCACAACTTCATGTATTATTTTAAATTTTTAGGTTATTCACAATTACTCGAGGAGTTAGATGTGTAAATTTTTTTTTTTTAAACTTATACAGGGGAGGGGGCGTTGAAGTTCAAACCCGTGACCTAATAGTCCGATAGCGGGTTGTGGTAGCTATTAGGCCAATCGCTGATCTTCTTAGATGTGTAAATCGAATAGACTTCTCTTGCCTTTTTATAAATAAGTGTTGTGTACTAATAGACTTGTTTACCATAACCACAAAGAAACAATAGTTTTATCTATTTATCTGTAAGAGCTAGAGCGCCTTTAGAATGATAAAAGTTGCGACTTCCAATTTGGAAAGAGAGATTTGACTTAAGTTGATTATGTGGAATTCAAGTTGGAATGCTAAGCTTAGATTTTTGTTCAATCTTTAACATAATTTTTAGATCAAATTCATGTTCAATCTTTAACATAATTTTTAGATCGTGTGGTTGTTAAATGAGACTCGAACCAATAACCATATAATTTGAAATTGGTGTTATTTTTTATTACGTATGATTTTATAAATAAATCTACTTGAACCACTTGAACAAGTGATATATTATATGGGCTCGAATGAGAATTTTAATGAGTTTAGAATTTGATTATATGTAATTCTTTTTCTAGAATGAGTGAACTAGTATGAATCAAAATCAATTTAAATTCGACTCGAATCAAAATCAATTTAAATTCGAGCCGAGTCGAGTTTAAAGAGTTGAGTTTGTTTAATAATCAAAGTATAATAGGTAATCAAATATACAACCCTTCGCCAATGGACTTTCTCATTATCGCCCCTCCTCTCACGTCAATTTTCAAACCTCCACACAAGTACAAGGAAAAAAAAACTGTTTAGAACAAGTCAAAAACATAAATTAGAAAATAAAAAACACACAATAGTAAGTAACAAACTTTGAAAATATAAAGCAACCGGCGATTCTCGGTCACCCTCACTCCTCCTTCCCCTATATATTTCCCACTTCCCTCGTTTCCCCCCACCATTTCTCTCCGATAGGTACTCAACCCCACCACCCAAAAATGGCCCAAACACCACCCACCACTACCAACGCCGCCGTAGGAGGCGGCTCACCGAAACGGCTATCCTTCATCTTATTAGAGTCCGTAACTACTGTATGGGCTGTGTGCACCAAGCAAGCCACTCGAGCCAGAAAAAAACTCACTGCCACTAATTCAAAAATATCGACGAGGTCGACGTTGACTATGCCGAAGCAACTCTTGGCGACGATAAGCAACAAGGCGATAAATTTCCGTCACAAGAAGAGATTCAACGAGGAATGCGACCCCAACGAAGGGTTCGGAGAAGGAGGGTTGTGGCAGAGGAATATCTTAATGGGCGATAAATGTCAGCCGTTGGATTTCTCCGGCGTGATTTACTACGATAGCGAGGGAAAGAGACTGAACGACCTTCCGATGAGGTCTCCGCGTGCGAGTCCGTTGCCGAGCTATATGTACTCGTCGGCGAAGAGAGAGTACAATTGAACTTGGAAGAGCAGTGGTGTTATTGATTAAGGTCCTCCGAATTTCAAATTTCATCAATTTTAATCTGAACAGTTAAGTTTCAGGATTGGATGAATAGGTTTTATTGGGTTTTACAGGCAGAAAATGGTTCCTAATTGTGAATGAAATTCATGAATTGGTAAGATCCGAATAAGTGATGATGTTATATGGGGGTGTGAATTTTATTTTTCTTTTTTGTTTTGTTTCGTGTAAGTGATCATCGCTGGATGAGGTAGTGATTTTGTAACAAAATGAGTTCAGCCCTCTACATGTGTCAAGGTTTTGTGATTTAGAAAATTCCTGGTATGTTTGTAGTGAGATTATGTATGCATATCCTATCCTCTTTTCTTGATCACTTTCTTCTTTGTCATCGTCTTTCTGGACTCCTCCAACGTGTTGTTTGACTTGTTTCCTCTATCAATCTTATCACTGAAGTTCACTGTTAATCTGATGACCACAATACATTAGATTTTCAAATATGATTTCCAAGTTAGTTCCAGTAGGATTTGATCTGTTTTTTTTTTTTTTGTTTATAAAAGTATTGGCTCAATTGAACCAGTAGTGCCAAAGTCTGTGTTCAAAGTCATTTTAGTGGCTCCTGTTTCAATTATGTAATTTTGGTCCTTCAAATATTAGGTAAGGGACATAATGGCAAAATTAGACTACGAAGGACCAAAATAAAATTGAATGCAAATTTTAAAGACTAATAGTGTAATTAACCTAATATTGTTCATAGGGAATGAGTGGTGGGTGTGTATTTCGATAAGAGCAATCTTATTGGGATCTAATTCACTATGAATATTAGATTGATTGTGGGGCCTATCAAACAGTAAAATTTATGCTCCGTTTGGTAGGGAGGATAGAAAGTAGAAAGAATAGAAAGTATGAGGGATACAATTTCTATCCTTCAATAGAAAGTAGGAAGTATACATTTTTCTTCTTTTGTGTTTGGTTGGATGGAAGGAAAATACTATTTTTTTTTATGCTGTCTAAAATTAGGGGTTGCAATCGAGTCGTGTTGTATCAGATTCGTGTTAAGTCATTACGGGTTTGTATCGAATATTAGTCAAACCTAACTGAACTCATTTAACTAATTGTGTCGTGTCGAGTTGCGAGTTGACGTGTTTATTTTGGTATCGAGTTCGAGTCGTGTCATCGTGTTGAGTCAAAAATTTTTACCCTTAGTTAAGATGGAATTTTTTTTTTTAATTTAATTTTTTTTAATTTTTTAATTTTATTTTTAAATTTTTAATATATTTATATATATATATATACATACATATTTTACCATTGTATTTTTATATGAAATTAATGTATACATAATATATGTATATATATAGACAAATAAGATACATCTCAATACAAATAATTAACTTTCCATCAACTTTCCTTCTGATTTTGGAGGGATTAATTTTATTAAGTTGAAAGGAAAGTTAATTCATCTATTTTTTCATCCTTCCTATTTTCCTTCCTTACCAAATATGATATTTTATTTATCCCTCTAACTTTTCATCCATCTAACTTTCTATTCTCCCACTTTTCCATCATACTAAAGAGAGCATTAGTGTTAATTCAATAGTTTTATTGAAATCACGTCATTATATCAACAAATTATATCAGATATTTAGGTTCAAAGCGTTACCCTTTCAATTATTTTAAAAAAGAGAGGGCTTGAGAAGTCAATCAGCTCCACTTTTTTTTTTTTTTTTTGGGTTTTATAATTGATTTTATTATTAAGTACAAAAGATATGAAAAAAATAAAGAAGCGTCATAAATAGCACACATGGTACATGGGCAATGCTAGTTAATAAGTACTATAATTTACAATACAATCAATCTATACCAAGACTAGAGGAGCAAACACCTAAGCAGAGGCAATACTATAACTAATATACACTATAAGTGGAGAAAGAATCATCTAAATTTATGTGGGAGGGACGAAGATAGAGCTGAATAGAGTACATATAAGTGAACATAATACATTAGTGCTTACCAAAAACCTCGTTTACCTCCCAATTGAGAAAGTCATGGGTGGACATTTTTTTTTTATGGAATTCTTGTGAAGGGACTCAAAATGAATATGCACGATTAGGTGAACTAAAAAACCAACGTGTCTTCAGACACTTGACAAACAAGTCACGTGCAATGGAATGCCTACGCAAGTCAAGGGATTTTCCAACCAAGTGGACGCCACAATAAATCGAGCAGGCAACGCAAGTATTCGATCAAGAAAGCCGAGTTGGTAGTAGAACAGGAGCAGTCAACAAGGCTGAACAAATACACAAATTAGGGTTGTATTTGGACTCAGCTTATGATAAAAGATGGCAACTAGGCAATCCTGAGTAATCAAAGGTGGTGTACAATTTGTGGGAAAAATACAACACTTCACGTGTAGGATCTTCCCATTAGAGATCACACACTAGACCTAAAGGGGGAGTAAATATTGAATGCAACGGTGATACCACGTCACCATTGATGACATGGTATCACCTACCAATACTAAAACTCCAAATGAAAAAAATGGACTCCACTTAGACTTACATGACAAGAGGGTGGAAAGTTATTTGTTTACATAACAGGTTAGTTATTAATTTTTGTGGATTCCATGTGCTTATTTGTTTTAATACTATTAGTTGGTAATACCATATTACCTTGCCACGTGGTAGCACCATTGTAATGAATATTTTCTCCTAAAGGGGGGAGGAGGTGAATAGGTTAATTTAAAATTAAGCTCGGATGATCTCCAATTTTAACTTATATCTACCACAATTAACTCTTTTAATAAAGATATGACAATTTAATGAGAACTCTTTTTAACATGAATAACTCATTAAGAGTGTGAATGAATGAATAAATATGTAATCAACATTAACCAATCCACAATCTCTTTTTGATCCCAATTAAAGACACAATCACCAAAACTATTATTAATGACTTGAAAGATAAATAATTAATTCATCAAACACATGGTGCACGTGCGTGCAACATTGTAAGTGTATAAGCAAATTAAAGCAATAAAGAACAAATGCAATTTATTGACGCAGAAAACCTTCTCGGGAAAAAATCGTGGAGAACCTTCTCCGTTCACTAAAGAAAATCCACTAAACCCAAAGAATTTACAAGTATTTAAGTCTTATACCTCAATCAATCTACATAGATAGGTGATTCTTTCCTTTGTAGATCTGTCTACTAAAGGTCCTCCTTGGATGTTATGGCTAGCTTCACTTAAACTCCCCGTCACACGATTCATTTAGGTCTCAAACAATCTTTAAGGTTTCACACCCAAGACCTCGGCATGCACACTTCTCCAAGTGGGTTTCGGTTGACACCAAGCAAGATCTTATTCTTCAATATATGAGGTTGAATGGAAGAATCAAGATGATGGGCCTTTGATTTTCGGGATCTAAGGTTGTTTTTGAGGCACTCTAAGAGAATTTTTGATCTATTCTAGCTCATAGAGGCTTACCTTAGGTTTAAAACATAGTCCCGTATATATAGGACACAAAATAGGATTTGATTTGGGTACCAACAAAACACAGATTAGCGTCGACTGCTCGAGCAGTGGAAGGGCGGACATACGACAATGGTTCTTGGAGTAAAAGATCATTATAGACCTTTAGGTGGTAGACCGATCTCTAGACTGCTCGAGCAACCTCTAGACCGCTTTAGCGAAGTGTTTCAGAAACCATTCCATCAAAGGCTAATGAACATAGAGAGATTCCTACTAATTTTTAAGCTAGAAACTAAGCAAAAATTTGACCTATTGAGCATTAAAGGGTGTTGCTCAAATAGGGTCCGATAAATGACTCAAACTATCTTTCCAAAATACATTTAAGGTTTAGAAAACATTTTCAACCATAGGAGTCATTTTTCAGATATTCCGAATTTCTTTTTGTTCACCTTAATCATCCTAAATCTAAAATTAAATCAAGGGATCTAGGTCTCTAAGGTCATTACATATGTCCTAAAATTGAAGGTGCATTGAAGTAGTCTAGATATAGTATTGTAACTTGATCTCCTTCCTTTCCTTTGTCGCTTATGGATCTTAATCTTCGAAACTTAATAACTATGAAATTTAGTCGAGATTTACATAGACTTTATAAATTTAGTCAATTACAAAATGTGATCTAATATAGTTGACAAGTGTCCGAAAGCATGGGTGAACATTATAAACATGGCCTAAATATTAGATGAATGGGAAAGGAAACCCAAAGGGATTCTACTACAAGTTAAGGAAGATCTGGCTAGAAAATAGGTGTGCCACATTGTGCAGCCAATGGTGAAAACCCTAGTAGAAAGGGCGCCACGAGTCTCTATAAATATCGCATAATGCTCAAGACTAAGCTAGGCTCTCCTTATTGCTTGCTATTGAAAGTAGGTTAAATAATCAAGGAATTCTCAAGCATATGAAAGGGTATCGTGTTTGTATCTCAATCGATTATCGAGGTCGTCTCCTCAAGAAAAATTAATGGTTCAAGATAGGGGTGTCAACTCTGACCAGTTAATACAAACTCGACATGACACGATTATAAAATTAACGCAATTATTAAATACACATAATAAATAATATAAACTAATATTTAATAATCATAAAATACTAAATAGATTTTTTTGTGAAATTTGACACGAATAACAATGATATGACACAAAAATACAAGACCTGCAGATCATATGACATGACACGAATGGACACCCTAGTTCAAGAGGTGATGTCAAAACAAAATAAAAACCTTGAATTTTGAGAGTTTGTTGAAAGAAATTAATCACTTAAAGAAATAAAAATTTTAAAAAAAAAAAAAGAACCAATTGTTCTGTAGAGATTAATCATTGTGAATAGGTATTTTGGCCGAAATTTTACCGAGGGACCTGATGTTAAAATGTGTGTAGTATATGTAGGAGACAGAACCACAGAGGGGCCTGGGGTGGCCATAGCCCCCTGTCCTTCGCACGAACCCGAAGTTTAGTCTACTGTACCCCAAAGTCAGCCCCAACTACACTATTCAGTGGTCCCCCATCCAAAGACAAAGTCTGTCAGCTTGATGGATTGCAAAGCTACAAAGTCTTGTTAATTTTACAAAATATTCTCTAACTTTGGTAAAGTAATATATATTTTTTTAGGGTTTATTGTACTGGATGTGCTTAATTATTTTTATATCCAGATTGCTAATTATTTTTTATCACAAACTTGTCAGACGATACTTAAATGTAGACAAAAAAATAATTTGAATAACTCTTGACCAAATTTTTACTCAAATTTTGGTTAAATATTTACTTAAATTACACAATTTTGATCATGAGTTATCTAAATTTTGGTCAAAAATTACCCATATTACACATTTTTTTGTCAAGAGCTAATCAAATTTTGTTTAAGAGTTATCAAAATTATTTTTTGTCTATATTTAACTATTATGTGAA